ATGTTGGAGTTAGTCATTTGTGGATAATTATCCATCGACATATTTTCTGATTGTATTTGTTGGCTTCCTGAACTTAGAATCATCATGGCTCCTACTCTTAACAATTGGTCATAATAACATTCTTCCCACTCCTTTGCTCGTGCCAATGATGCCTCTATCATAGCTAGTCAAGCCTCTTTTACAAACATTTTCAATTCTGGTGGATACAAACCATTAATTAATGTCAACAATATAAACGCATCTGGCATTTGATTATTTGGCCATTTACGAAGTATATCTACAATTCGGCCATAATAGGACTCTACTAATTTCTCCGCAAATATCCTGCTATTCATAAAACTTTCTCTAAGCCGATCTTCAAATACAATTGGTCTAAAATGGATTAGAAAGGCATTCCTCAAGGCCTCCCAATTGAAAAATCTATCCAATGGTTGCTGATTATACCATTCAAAAGCTATATCTTTTAAAGTTGCTAGCAACCATTTCAATCAAACGTCTTTAGTTCTACCATTATTAGCAACGCAGGCTTTCAAGAATTGAGATATATGGTGATTAAGATTAGAATCCGATCAACTACTAAAAATAAGTAATAGTGCCATATTTATAGTGCGGTCTCATACTGCTTCCATTTCTACCACAATTGGTACTCCTAGCACTCCCGCAGCCATTGATGTTATCACTGGTCTCCTTGCTATTTGAATTTGAATTTTTCTTCCTTTGGTTTCCTTCTCTCAATCACAATTCTTCATCAAAAGAATTATCTTCCTTTGATGAAGAATTGTGATTGAAACTGTAAGTAGAATATTGTAGAATATGACTTTAGACTGACCGTTTTGGAGAAAATCCATGACCTTGAGAATTGAGATTATCGAATTTTTCAATACTTCTCTCAATCACAATTCTTCGTAAGTAAATAATAAAAAGCAAAGAAAACAAAGAGGTAGCAATAAGCTTATCCCGGCTTACGACTCTCACAGTTTGGCCCCGATCTCCCTTTTCTCAACTTCTTTATTCTACCAAAAGATGGACCATCGACCAGCAGATTCCAAAGATTATGAACCTTTGAATTCTTAACCATTTGTTCCATTAACAACCTACTGTTACCAACTAAATTGCCTAAACATAAGTCTAATTCTCAAGGTTATCAATAACTAACCAGTAACTTACCACAAAATTTATTTACATATTCTACATCTACAAAAAAATTAGATCTAATTCATTTTGAGGTCTCTAGGCTATTGTTATGTAGTAATATGGCCATTAGATAATATATATATATATATATATATATATATATATATATTATCTAATGGCCATTTAATTATATATTTATCTAATTATATATATATATATAAATTATGTAATTATATATATATATATATATTATATTATATATATAATAATAAATATATATATATTATCTAATGGCCATCTAATTATATATTTATCTAATTATATATATATATCTAATTATATATATATCTAATTATATATATATATATTATCTAATTATATATATATATATTATCTAATTATATATATATTATATTATATATATAATAATAAATATATATATATATATAATAATAAATATATATATATATATATATTTATTTATTTATTATAAAAATCCTAATATAATATTATAGTAAAAAATAAAGATAAATGATAAAAAGGTAGTAAAAGTTTTAATTTTAATGATATCTTTTTATAGAAGAGACTTCTATTTATTTTGTATAGGCATAAATAAGCCAAATCAAAGTAAATGAGATAAGTAGTTGATATAGGCATATTTAAGAGAAGATTGAAAATAGGTTTTAGCAAAAATTACTTAAAAATATAAAGAATTAATACTTGGAGAGGATTGATTCTGAACCAAGGTTGAAATCAAACCCCAATATACAAAATTGTGCACCTATAGCAACTCCAAGGTTCTTTGGTTGATTAAAGAATAAGATTTGAGAGAGAGAAGTTCTTTAGGCATTGATTTGAAGTGATTTGACTATAGAACAACTTTATAAAGACTTGGCAAAGTTAAGATTATTTTCAAGTGACTTTGGATTTTGAGAAATTTAAAGAGTTGATACTTTGGATAATTGTGTAAGTTTTTTAGATGATTTATAGATGACATTTTGTAATTAAGTGTTTACTATTATATATAATCTATATTACAAGTTTGAGCTTAATCTAATATTTCATTCAAAGTTTATTGAAGCTCAAACATATTGAGGTCTTAAGAATTGGGATTTAAAAGACTAGTGAAAGTTTCTATAATATTGGTCAATCTGCCATTTGGATTAAAGTCAAATTTTGCATAGAAGTAATAAACTTGAGTTTTAACAACTATGTCAAGTTTGAGACTTATTAAATGATGAAATTAAGAGATTTTGGCTCTAAAATATTAGTATTAATATTGAAGAAGAAGACTTGCCAACACTTGAGTAAATTTTAGAGGTTATCTCTAATTTAGTATGTTTAATTTGCTTCAAATATTTTATACTTGTTGCCAAGTCAAATAATGAGAAGTATAAAAATTCAACAAAAAACTCAACTTTTTGTATCGTATATAGTTTTTTTATTCCAATAAGACTATCTAGATATGTATCTTTTTTTAACATGCATGTTTATTAATTACCATATAAAGCCTTTGAAGCTCTTTGCTTTGCATGTTAAAGATATTTCTTTTATTTTTTATATTAAATTAAAATATATTTTAAAATAAAATAAAAATATATAATAATTTTTATTTATAAATTTACTTTTCTATTTACTTATTTAATATAAAATAAAACTTTTAAAAATATTTTTTATCTATAAAATAGATTATTTTATATTATTTGATGCCAAACTTATTTATTAATGGAACCCAATTATGTTTTATCTTAACACCTATTAAGTGCTAAGATGTTTTTACTTTTGGGCATCAAATAGATTTTATTTATTTATTTATTTATTTTTTTGCATAGACTAGCTATATATTATAGAATCTAATCTTTAAATTGATTTCTATCTCTCATATAAAACAACTCAAGAAAGGGAGGGAGAGGAGAGAGAAAGAGAAAAATACACGAGATAAACAAGAAGAGACAAAAATCCTTTGTGATTTGCTCCACGCCTCATTATTTTCATCAAAAGTGAAGAGAAACTAGAATTCATCTTTTATTTTTTTTATTAAAAAAATTCATCAAAAGTGAAGAAAAAGTAGTTTTTATATAGGCACATCTTAATTGTGGTTTTATTATGGTTTTAAGGCAAAAAGAATATGAGCATAATATTGTCTATTAAAAAAAAAACATGATTGGGATAAGAACTAGAAGAGCCTAAAAGACCGGTTGGAAGTTGTTAAAGACTCAAAGAATGATCTTTTTTTTGAACCATATTATCTTCATGTTGAGATACGTTTTGTGGAATAAGGTGAGAACCAAACTTACAAGTAAGTATATTTCTGTTCAATTCCTATTCCCTATGAATTGATTTTGTAATGTGTAGTAGAAATTGCCTTGTCATTTGTCAAATTTTATAAGAATTTTCTTGTTCTTTTTGTCTGGTGCAACACAACTAATAAGATGGGAGGCAATAATAGGCCATCATATTTGTTGTATCAATATTCCATAACTTCATGTAATGTGGAAGAGAGGAATAGAAGGGGGGGAGGAGAAAGTGAGAAGAAAATCAAGGAGGTAGATTCTTTGCAAAGATATGTATTGCATAGGGAATTGGAATTTGGAGCTTATATCGTGAGAGATTATAATGGAGTATCAAGTCTATAATTTGATAAGACTTTGGTCAGCATCCAAGGTGATGTTTAAAATTGGCAAATTGTTTGGATTACCAATTAAGGCTTTGAAAGAGCAATATTGTATGTTCAAGAAGTCGGCAAGATGTGAGTTCTATACTACTATACTTACAATGCCCTCATCTGCCATGTAGGTTATTTTAACCAAATTGCTTTGGTATTGGGAGCACTCAATCTACTGCAGTAAATAAAATAGTACTCAGACACATTTTGTGAAAAACCAATTTTTTTAATTTGAAAATTCATATCTATTAGGATGTATCATAACAACACTGTTACCGTCATCAATTTGGACTTGAGCAGTAGACAAGGTGTACTATGGAATGAGGTACTGTTTACATGAACAATTCTTTTTTGTGAATCAAATTACATTACACAAATATCAAAAGACAAGACATGGAAAGATATGAGAACTGGAATTTATATTGTTACCTTTTTTTAAAAAAAATTTAATGATCATGAGAATGATTTCAGAGTCGTATCCTTTTTTCTTTTTCTTTTTCTTTTTTGTTTTTGATCATTGTTTTCTAAAATGTATGCTTCATATCACATGAAAATATTAAAAACAATCATATTGAAGTGCACAACTTACCAAGTCCAAAATTCAATGATACACATTGATACTCAATTGGGCTAAACCAGGGTACATAAGAACCACTCAATTGGGCTTTATCAAGTCCTTCGTATAATCTTCAAATGCAAGCTTAAGTAACAATTTTCGTTTGTCCATAGTTTCTCTGCATATATCGAATCTAGATTTAACAAATGGCACTTCATATGAGCCAATTACACCATCAAATTCATTGTTAAGATGTGTGCATGTGTGTGAATGAACCCCACTCACAGCGAGCTCAGTTTTCAAGCAACAACACTAAACACAGAGAGACTTGATCTCACGTGAAGAAGCACAAAAAGCACGCCGACGTGTGGATTTTGAAGCAAGAGGTAATCCAAAAATGGTGGCCAAATTTTACCGACTGCACTAACCGGCGAGTACTTGCTGAGCAATACTCGCGTCTGAGCACGAAAGCACTTGGCAGAGACGGTCCTCGAGGTGTCTGCAGGTTCTAGACTGAGCTCCCTGACTAGGCTGTACCCTGTCTGGAATGAAACCCCGAGCTGGGTCTGTAGGAAACCATTAAAAAATGGAAGGATTCGCAAATGGTAGAAGATAAGGACAAAAGCTCGGCATATAATTGCAACCATTGAGGGTGCGGAGCCAGTCGGCACCTGGTGGTAATCAGAAAAAGTGAAAGCGCTGGGTTGTGAAGAAGAGCGCATGCTAACTCCTGTGAATTGCTTTAGGCTGGACTTTGGAGGAGGTGACGGTGCGCTTGGTCGACGGTCGGGCGGGTGAGTGGGAAGGATCGGAGGACCGGGTCGTCGATGTATTTGCAGGAAGTTGTTTGATGGTTTTACTTCGGTAGAAGTTTTGAAGAGCTTTGCGGTGGAGTGGTGGCAATTGGGTGATAGGGTGAAGTGACCTGTTTCTGTAAACAGATCAATTAGTTCGTTGTGTCGATCGTCTATGTTCTTCAAAGGGAAAGCTGGGTAGGGCTGCGCAAGGAGTGGTTCAGGGATTTGTGAAGCAGTGCGTCGGAGATTATTGTTGGTAGTCTTTCACGTAGTGCTGAGCTAGAGGTGGATGCGTCTTTGTGGTTTCGGTGCTTCCGGCGAGCAGTTGGCGAGCTAGAGGGAATCGAAAATTGCAGTCGTAGAAGGAGTGCGGTAAAAGGAGGACACAATGATGTCCGCTGTGACGTATATGTGGTCACTCATGGGGATGATGACGCTCATACAGCGTTTTCTCCCACAAGAGTTCACCAATTACCTGAAACACCACGTGAAAAAAGTGTTGAGGAAGTTCTGGAAGAAGGACAAGTACTGCCGATTCCACTTCAACGAATTGGACAGCAAGAGACGCACCAACCATCTCTACCGTGTTGTGGAGATGCACTTGCGAGCGAGGCAAATCGTCAAGGGAGCCAACGATTTGCGCCTCTCGCAGGAAGAGAATGCTACGAAAATCAGCTACACACTCGCAAGTGAGGCTCTAATGACCCCCTCCCCTGGCTGGAACTCCTCGAAATCCGAGTAGCTTACCCAAAAATTCTTTGATGTTGGTTGAGACAGGTGATGAGACTATATTGGATCAGTACGAAGGGGTGCAACTGTGGTGGACGTTCACCGCGGAGAAATCGAAGAGCGAGAATGGGGGCGAAAGAGAGGAGAAGAAGTACACTCTGAAGATGCTGAAAACGGACAAGCCATTCGTGATGGCAACCTACATGGACTACGTTGCAAAGAGTGCGAAAGAATACAAGCGTCAGATGCGCGAGTTGAACCTCTACAGCTGCAGCGGTGATCGCTGGAAGTCCCACACATTCAAGCATCCCTCGACCTTCGACACGTTGGCCATGGATCCGGATTCTAAGCAGCGGATCCTGGCGGACCTCAAAGCATTCATGGAAGGGGAAGCGTACTTCAAGAAGGTTGGACGGCCGTGGAAGAGAGGGTATCTCCTGTATGGCCCTCCAGGCACAGGCAAGAGCTCTTTGATTGCGGCTGTGGCAAATAAATTGAAATATAACATCTATGACCTCGAGCTCACACAGGTACGTAGCAGGTTTAAGCATTTCGTGTGCAGCTAAAGATGAAATAACCTAACCGTCAATGTCGATCGATTCTATCTTTGCTGAATCAGAATCCGTTTGATCGTAATCAGGTGCACGACAACGCCCAGCTGAAGATGCTGCTGACAAACACGACGAGCAAGTCGATCATCGTCATCGAAGACATAGACTGCTCACTCGACCTAACTGGCACACGAGCGAACAAAATGAATCGGGAGAAGACTAAGATGGGGTCAGAGAGACCAGCACAAGACGGAGGTAGCAAGGTTACGTTGTCGGGACTATTGAATTTCACCGATGGACTGTGGTCGTGCTGTGGGATGGAGCGGATCATCATCTTCACTACGAACCACATCGACAAGCTGGACCCGGGACTGCTGCGACCAGGTCGCATGGACATGCACATTAACATGTCATACTGCAACTTCGAAATCTTCAAAGTTCTTGCCATGAACTACTTGGCTGTGTCGAATGATCCGTTGTTTGAGGAGGTGGAGAAGTTGTTGCAGGATGAAAGTCTGAAAATAACCCCAGCTGAAGTCACTGAAATTTTCTTCCAGCACAAGAATAACAACAATCTAGCTCTGCACACATTGGTGGAGGATATGGTGAGGAGGACGGCGGGAGGGGATCCAGTGCTGCTGGACAAGGCAGACGCAATTGAGGGCAACGTCGATTTGGACTGTGAGATAACACCAGAGACCAACTGAGTGTGTTGAGATGCGTAGGAAGAGACTGAGTGCAGGTAATGCAAACGCCTGCAGAGTTTAACTGTCCCAGAGATAATGGCAAATTGTACTGGTGTGAGTTCCATCGAATTTAGTTACTCGCAATCTAGGTTCGTTGCCATGAGAACAAGTAGTAAAAAATCTCCTGACATTAAAGAGGTTGACAACACAGTGTGGAGTGTATTTCCCTCCCAATTTTCAGCACTTCATCGAAAACGTGAATAGTCATAAAAAACAAAATTTTGGACAGTTTGATCAAATAATTTTGCGTTAATTTAGACATGGATTGTTCAACGACGGGACAGGCCAACCTACAAAATCAATCTTAAGGACTCGGAAAGACAGAAATTATATTCCAAAGAACGATCCATCGAATGAGTAGGAATATACTGCCAACGTAAACATAACCGTCCTAGCATGGAGAAAAGATGAAGGACGTCGATGACCAAAGACGAATCTATGTTATCGATCACAAAGGTGAAGGTGTATTCAGAGATATGAGTCATGGACCCCACAGCAACCAGAGGGCTGAGGTTGTACAGGCAAGGAAAACTGGGGCATATCAAGCAGGAATAGGTATTAAGAGTGATTTGACAAATCTGGTCAAAAACAGTTGAGGAACTATGTCCACAACTCCGACCCCAAGCTCCATTACTACTATTGAGATTTGTACAAGTGTTCATTGGGCAGCGAAAACCTTCAGTTCACGGCCATGGTAGTAATCAAAAGAATCAAGGATACCATTTCCGAGATATGCTTCCGCACAGTTAGAATCCACAACCAACAAGAGACCTCACACCGACTTCATGATTTAATCCAGACATAGCTCAGTTCTGGGGGACGACGGCCACAATGCAGGTGAAACTTGGACGTCTCGCCTGCAAAGCGTTCGAATGCGCTGTTTGTAGAGTTCTTACACCATCTGCTAGGGACGGGGAGTAACGAGGGTCGAATAGTGCTCAAAAATCCCTTGTAAACGTGCGGCAATACTTTGCCCTAGAGGCTCTCCTTGTAGTAAACCAGCTGCGATAATCCTATGCAACCAAAAGGGGTTGAAGTCGAACCATGGAATCCACCACCGAACAGCCTCCACAGTGGTGGACTAAGAATGGCGATGAGGTATACAGAATGAAGTGACTTATACTCGTTCAAGCTCCTCAATGTGAGTGTTCTTCTGAGCTTCCAGTAAACTTTGCCAATGCCGCAAGAGCTTGCTTTGTTTCTCCATCAATGCATCTTTTACTTTCAATTCCGCTTCTAATGCTGCAATTTCCTGCAATGTGTAAAACACATGTCAAATACTTGACTGGATAAAGTCGAGAACAACAGACGGGGAATCCACTGCAGGAAATATTGTACCCTGTAATCCAAAAACATCAGACCAATGCCTTCAATTAAATCTAACCAAGAAATACAACCTTTTTCAAAGCTTCTTCTCTAGAAGGCTGATGTCGATGTTGGGCGCGTATAAAATACAACTGCAAAGTTTTAGCAGCCTCCATGAAGTCAGCCGCGTGTCTTTCAACATCAACTGCATAGATACACGGCAGCGTCTCAGATACGGGAAAACGATTCGAACATCCGACAAACAGCTGTAAAGCACAGGGTAACTAACCGATACACGGGTGGAGATAGCTACACAAGCTACATAGATCGCTTTTTCTGATACAAACGTCCGAATCGACTAGTGCTTAGACAATGCTGAAATGAAATGGTGTGTTAAGACCTCTATACTCAACTCCGACGCGAAACATAATATAGAAACAACTAGGGTTTGAGCCTAAGAAGCGGATACCAGCCGCAGATATGCGACAACACAAGCGTGTATTTCATCCAAGCCCAGGCTCGGACAGCCAAAACCCCACACCAGAGTTCTTAACCCGAGACTTAGGAGGCATCCACTTCACAAGCATATACCGGCCCATTGCGGGAAGACTGCAGAAAGTACTCGAACTGATTCGCGAACTGAGAAAACGATTGACGGCCAAAGACAAAACAAAGCTCAACCCTAAACCTCAGTTTCCTCCAAAGTTCTCCAACGACGGACAAGAAAATATCATCTCCGAAGGTACGCCTAGGTTTGTATAATCATGATCTCATCGTTGCCACCGAACGATATGCGCATTCACCTTGATGCGAGGGGTGAGTAGAGCGGTCGACGGCCTGAAGCTCCCGAGCTGGAAGACATGGCAGAAGAGATGCATCCAAAGATGCCACAAGACTGAGCAGATCTGGACCACCACCACCACCACCTCCTCCTCCATTGCCACCTCCACCACCACCACCTCCTCCTCCATTGCCACCTCCACCACCACCCGGCGTGGCCGCCATGGTCCTCCTTTCGCCTTCAGACAACTCGCGTGCAATCTCTCGTTCACTTCTGTCGCAACAGAATGTTGCGTGACGATGAGTGACGACGCTTCACGAGACTCTACGTTCAGCCCCTTTCGGCAAGTCGTCTCCGACACATCCCGGGACCCCCGATGAACGAACGCAATAATGTGCGTTAACAGCATTCGTCCCACGGCTACTTCCCAAGGGTGGATTAGCCTACTACCGGCGTGCTGTCTATGACCGCTAAGCTGGCTCCAGTTTAAGTTGTCCCGAACACAAGCATGTTCGTTGCAATTGGATTAGAACATGCATGATGAGGAAAATCTGTACTAAGAAATATGCAGCACTTTTACCATCCGAACGCTGACTGATAATTCTTGGATAGATGATTCCCTCCTCTAATTAGAATTGTGAAGAATCAACAGCACATGTCTGTGCTCCCTATGATTAAATTGTTTTGTAAAACATGGTCGACATCAAATGCAATAACAAGTTGAGAAGTCGCACCAATGCATCGCATTCATTCAAGTTCTTCATCAGCAAATTGTATCCTTTGAAACATGTCAGCGTTAGCATTAGACTAAAAGCCGTGGACTCGAAAGCTTTGCATAACGTCGCGTAAATGACGACGTAGTTCATTGTCGGTAGGCAGATTCCGCAGTGCACCAAAGATTCTCAAACATGGGTAAACTACCGGCCTGTGAGTGCCGAAAGCATTGCTATCTCTCATCTGAAGGAGCGGATCTAGCGTTGTCTCCAGACTATCGATTGCAAGGTGCATCAGACTTCCTGAGATGCATCGGAGTGGATTTAACGCCGGCAGCACCCTGAGCAATTTGTACGCGGATTTCCTGTTGGGTTCGTGCGTACCCACCCAACCGAAGGTAAGAACCAGCTCTATTGGCATGATGATCATTCGAACTAAGATCGAGAAATGGGTGTGCATGGATTTGCTGCGGTGGGTTGGTGCCAGCTTCAGGAACCTCGGCGTTCAGGGACTGTCCATGGGTTCAAGTGGGCTTGAGAAGAGAAGAATCCTTGAATCCGCCCTGTGGGAGGCACGTTTCATGCGGAGGCGGACTACAACCGGAATGAAGACGGTTCGAAATCATCTGGCCCGTGATCCTTTATCCATGTCCTCAAGCTTCTCTTAGCAGCCGCACTGCTAAACGACACCACCTCGTACATGCTGCAAACGTTCGCCACGACCGCTTCGCTTGTTAGCCGTTTCGGGCCCTTGAAGATCGCGTTTTCAAGGGTGTCGACTGCGTCCGTTAGCTGCCGGTTATACAGCAAGCATAGTGCCTACCACCATAACAACACGTCGTTTTTCTTAGAAATGGACGCCCACACGAGCGATAGTCCCCAGCTCCAAACAGAGGTTGTAACTCTAAGCAATCGAGAGCTACCTTGTTGTTAGCACACACAATATCGTCAGAATTTCTAGCCAAGACGGCATCGAATTCTTCAATGGCTTTGGAAAACTCGCCCTGGGCCATGTATAGAACTCCCCTGGTCCGACCTAGCAAGTCCTGTAACTTGGACGATTCTGGAGTAGAGGACACCAACGCCTCGACCGCAGAGAAGGTTTTTTGAGCTCCAACAACATCACCTAGTTGAAGTTGTATAAGAATGGCCTTTGTTTGCAAGTAAGGATCTGCTGGCGACTTGGCCATGAGCTTATCCAACCATTGAAGCGCAACTAGAAACTGCTGCTCATACAAGTGATGACTGACTATGGAGAAGGACACGATCTCTCTTCGCTTTCGCCATGTAGACAGTAACCCTTCTAAAACCTGAATGTCGGAAGCAGCCGCAGATTCCTCGGTTTGCTCGTCGTCATTTGATGTGAGGGTGCTCTTGAGCGGCTCTGAGCAAGTGGTTGACGCCATGTTCAAAGAATATTCAGCTTGCAGAACGTCTATCTGGCCAGAACCAACGTCGAACCCTTTGATAAGTTACGGTGGATGTTGCAAGAGAGGGTGACCTTAATTTCATTAAGACTGAGAGATAACGCTAGGTTTCAACGACGATGATGCGAAGAGCGAGATCAACCTGAGCGTCACAGTGATTAAGAAGCTCGTAGAGACGATGCAAAGTCTCTCCAGTCTTTCCTTCTCGATGGGGAAGCTCGGCATGCATACACCGTAAAGACCATGGCACCATCGACCCTGGTCACAAAAGGCATAACACAACCTGAATGAAGAGCAATACACCAATTTCCAGACATCCCAAGCACCACCTCCAGATATCTAGGAATTCTGAAACTTTAAATTTGAACTTGGAAAAAGGTGGCGAGTTCATCATTTATCATCGTGCAGCTGACCTGACTTATTAGGATACAATTCCGGATGATTCTCGAATCTGTACTGTGGAGAGTCCAAGTCACCGAAAGCTGCAATTTCGTGTGCTGCAGCGCGGTAATCCTGAAGCTTCATCAGTGCCAGAAGGTGGTAAGTCCCGTACGCAATCTCCTGATCTAGAGTTGAGAGCAATCCTCGTTTCTGCGCGCCCTTCACTCTTTCAATAACCCTCTTCCAGCATCCCTGTCTCTGTCAAAGCTCACTAGATCTCCAATTCAGCAACGTTGAGTATACCCATCTTCTGCAATTGCAAGCGATCAAGTGGCACACAGCCCTCTATGAACAAGTCAATCTAGGTTAAAGCTGGCAAAAAATCTCAGATGAGATTTGAGTGCGGAAATGCGTACCGCGAGCTCTCTAAGCTTTCGGATATCAGCAGACATGCGCTTGAACGAACACCTGGAGAAAGAGAGATGCCGAACAGGCGCAGACTTAGAAGCCGGCGAAGAACCATCACCATGGATGTAATCATTGCTGAGACGATACTGGGCAGACACGGGCTGCTTCACAGGAGCTCTAGAATTTCCAACTTCGCCGCTTCGCACTCCTCTCCATGGACTCGGTGTCGAAGTATAACCTAGGGTGTGTACGTTGCTGGTGCGACCGGCTGAAAGGACCTCTTTCCTTGGTGCCCCAGGACTTGACCCACCTCCACTCCAGCGTTCCGACCTCAATGGACGTGGAGTCGGCGCGCTGTCTAGCGGAAAATTGATGTTCCCAGGATAAGTCAGCGACTTCGAGTGCAGGATTGGCACCCGAGGTGTAGGCTTTCTTTCATTTTCAGGCACATCTCTACTGACGCTAGCTGAGTAACTCTTGGGCTCTAGCTTTTCTGGGGTGGAGGGTAGTTTAGTTTGAGAGAAACGAGGCGAGGCTGGAGTGAAGCGTGTAGTGGGAGTCCGGGCAGATGAGGCACTCTGCAGCGCTGTTCTGAATAAAGAGACGCCGGTATATTCTATTCCCGATTCAATAATCGGTTCAAATTCCTCGTCTGACATGGTGATCCAGCAATTTCTTCAACCTTTGAAACTACTAAAGAAGAGTCATCGGAATGCTGCACACGAAACCGATACATCAACATCGACTTTGATAGCAGGTGAAATCATATGGCAACCTCATCCAAATTTTCCAGTTGAAAGGTGCTTCTCATGCTGCTCGTTAGATTTTAACGACTGGGGAATGTCGCGAAATCAAGTTCAATCTCTGGAACTTTCTCAGCATGAATTCACCACTAAACCAAATGATTCTACATGCCGTTTGTCGCAGCACATCTCTCACCATTACACCCCGGATGCCTGAGAATGAGGAGGCTTCTACACGACCTCTAAGTAAGAATTTTGCGATAAAGCTATATTCCTTCGGGGAATCCCTTCACTCGTCTGAAGAAAGACCATCTCGACACACCAGCTTCCAAGACCTAATCCCATCATTTGACTTCCTGGAAAGAGGAGAGATAAGAATTAATAAATTAAGCCAGCATCTCACTGTACTGCGCGCGAGGTTAAGCCACTTAGCTCGATCACCGGCTACGATGAGAAGCAGCTGTCCCAGCTACCCAGCAACAGTGTGCACCACAAACACCTCAAAACTCAAAATTCCGAAATAACCAGTAGCGAAAACTGTCGTAGGAACTAAACCGCGAAAGATTTCCATAACAGGAGGATCGAAGCAAATTCAAAACCAGTGAGCTCACACCAATACCCAGATCGTGAGCCTGGTGACGAGAGTGCCACAGGGAGGTGAGCACCGATGGCCAGATGGAATCACCAAAAAATAGGAAAGTGGGATGCGCCGCCTCCGCATCGTCCGTGAGCGATCCCATCTTGTCAGTGTCTTTCTCGCTCTTCTGAATTCTGATCGAGGCAAGCAACCCCCTCTGACTCACCGAATGATCAAATGTCCTCGCCTGGACAGGACGCCAGCATGGCGTCTTGTACCCAGTCAACGTGACCCTGATTGAAATCCCTTGGCCGGGTCTTGCATCTTTCACTCGACAATGTTGGATCCTCTGCTGTTGGCAGTGGCATCGCCGAGCTCGTGCTCGGCTTCTTTGGTGAGTCCTTGACTATGGGACCGCTCACGGTCCATCGTCCTTGCCTCTCCTCTCCGCTAACGAAACCAGGCGATCCTCAGGCTTGGGCCATTATCAAAGCTGGCCTCGGCGTTCCTTCCACGGAGGGGATCGAAACACGACACAATCCTTGATCGTGAATCTAGGGCTGTCTCAGGATTGCTCTAGAGGATCCCTCCTACCTTGCGCATGCGATGGAGGAGACCCTCCAACTTTAGATGACACCATGGGCGAAAACCATCCATTCTAGTTTCATCGCTCACTCATTGTTTTAGCGTAAAGTGTCGATTGATGGACCACATGTCAACCACCACGACCAGTGTGAATGTTTCAGAATCGCGTGCACACCAGCGAAATGAGCGGCCAGTGAATTGATTTCACTGTTGACACTCTCCAAACGGTGCGGATAGAATTCCACTTGGAGCGAGGGGCGTTGAGAACCAATGTTTATTTTGCTTGCCAATTTCTACCAAAGTGGAAAGTTTGTATGATACATAATCATCGCCACTTAGCTGTGCAGTAATATTGTTCGTTACAAAAATTGATTAAGGTGAGTCTTGTCTTAATGTGTGCACGACAGTTGAAAAGTGCTGTCGGTTGTCTGTTGTTTGTGAGGTGATAGTTTGTGTGGGTGCAAGAAGTTGGTGATTCCATTCCATTAAGGGGGGTTCAAACATGGCCTATTTGGGTGATATTTCACTTGTGATGAGATCTCTAAGTATCCCATGATATTTTGAAATATCTCTGCATCAAATCACCTACCTCATGAGGTGGATGGTTTTCAAATCAAAATATAAAAAGAGGGCCAAATTGCTCACCTTGGCTCTTTATCCTTTTTGAGTCCATACCACATTGCCCAACACCATGCCTCTGCTTTAGGGGAAAAATTGAATGGTGATATTTTGAATTTGATATTTTGAGTGATCCTAGAAGTATGAGGTGCTGAATCCCAGTTATTTGGCTTTGCAAAAGTGCCATGTTTGAACCCCTACTGATGGGTAAATCAGAGGTAAAGTTTCTAAACATCATTTTGCATAGAAACCAATTTTACATTTGGTATATTTCAAACATCCTCCAGAACAGTAAGATACACAGAAATTTGATTGAAATACCATGTGTGATGTCCATCATATTATGTCAGCAACTAAGATGCAACATCCATATTGAATATGGGTCTAAGTGTCCTGAAACTTTCATAAACCTTGATGAACTGAAGTGAGTGCAGAGGTGATCTCACTTCCATGTCAGACTTTCCAACATTGCATGCTCCTTGTGGTAGTGTAACCCAGGAATTAAGTGTCTTTGGAGTTGAGGTTCCATAGCCATGAATTTTTTTTGATGCTGGAAGCAATGTCTGCATTGAATTATATTGCAAACATAAATGAGCTTTGATTTGTGACTTTTGAACACCCCATGGTCTTGTGTGTAGTTTGAGGAAGGAGTTATTTTTATTTATTGGACAGGTATGGTTGTATTTTTATGCTGTGATGAACAGCTCATTGGCCCTGTTTGCAAATGCATCAAAATGGAGAAGATACAAAATAAAACAAAAAAAAGTGGGTACTGTGGATAGTTTACCACAACATGGTTTTAGTAAAGGTCTGCATGCCAACATCAACAGATACATTGCAATCACTGTTTCTTCTTTAAAAATTATTGACAGGAGATTTGTATTGTGGGTATCTTTATTTGAAATGTATATGGTTTTTTGTTTTTAAATGCAAGAATATATTCTTGATATAAGATGATCACAAATTATGTAATTGTACTTTTTTTCTTTTGTTCATTCATGTACAAAAAGTATTTATTATTTGTAATATATTATTTTACATTCCTCAAACTTGTGAGAACAATTTTGTATCAGTACATGCCATGGTTTATGTAAATGACATGTCAATGTGCCTCATGTGCAAAAACACACACTTGCATTCCAGTATTGTAAAAACATTTTGGTTGCACATTTGATTTGGAATGAATTTAATCATGACAATTGATGTGGAATTGTAACATTGTATGTATATATATATAAATATAAATATATAGTATTTTACACATTATGTTAGTGCATAATATTTACAATAAATTCCAAAATTACACAAATGATGTGCTCAATAATAATAGCAATGAATAAAGCATAGGTGGTGAATTAAAAAATGAGTTAGGTCAACAAGAAGTGTATATTGAAGACAAGGATTTTTGCATTAAGCATTTGGTATTAAGGCAGTAAAACAGTAAATAGTACATTTTAACCATCTATATATTTTTTTCTATGTTATTTATGCTTAATATACACATAAATTTATTTTGATAAACAAGTATTTCAATCTACATAGAATATATGAATTTCTATATAATGTTTATTTTAGTATATAAACTGATATAGCTTTTGGATACTTATTGTTTTAAACATATACTTTTAGATTCTATTGTCACATGTTGCATATGAAGTACTATTGTTTGATAAACAAAAATACCAACAATGCAAATAACAAAAATATTACAAATCTAAAGTTGTGGCATTCTTGTTTTAATTTATTTATGTATTTCTATTATTTTGGTCCATATAAATATGATTTTTTATTTATATATTATATTATTTTGATAAAAATAATAATTTTTGACTTATATTATATTTTTATATAAATAAAATAAATTATACTTTAATTAGATATTAAATAGAAGTTTAAAAATGAAATATTTTTTTGCTTCACCTAAGTTATTAATATAAATATATATAATTTGATTTTTATAATAAAAATAAACAAATAATTTGACACTATTTTTTGATTTTTTGATTTTATACGATGATTTATATACATATATATATATATATATATATAGTATTTTAATCTTTAAATCTATTACATTGATATACTTATTGAGATTGTTATTGCAGAGAATTATATATTCTAAATGGATATGCATTGTAAGGTAGACATCTTTTTTATAAGAGCATATTATAGAATGCTACATCCAAACAAGTAAAAATTTAAAATACTAAAAAAAAGATAATTTATATTAAATGAGATTCTACATCTAATTATAAGAGATCATGCTTAGCTCATTTGAATTGCTAAGATTGAAGAAAAAAATGAATTTCTATAAACTTTAAACTACGTTTTGGTATTTTTTTTACTTAATAATATACATATAAAAATTTAGAAAAGAAATAATGATGTAAGAAATATATATATATATATATATATCAAAAATATTATCTATAATTATATAAAAACATAAAATTTATATTTAATATATTTTTATGGATTTTATTACAAATCTTCAAATCTCAAGTTTTTATGACTTTATATTTGTGATAGTAGATATTTTCAACATAATAGCATATTTTTTATTATGTAAAGAAACTATCAAGAGTAAAGAAACAACCAAACTTTTCTTTGACATAATTTATTGTTATTATGGATTATCAAAAGATATTATATTAGATAGAAAGATTCAATTTATATTAAGATTTGAGGAATCTTTTTTAAGATATTGAAAGTAGATATAAAATTATATTTAGATTTTTATTCTTAAATTGATAAACAAATAAAATAAGTAAACAAAGTTTTAGAGCAATATTTGAGATGTACCATCATTGACTATAAAGATGATTAAATAACTCTTTTGTCATTGGCAAAGTTTGTTTAGAATAAAATAATACATTCTTTTATTCAATAAATATTATTTTATACTAATTAAGGTTAATATCCACAACTTAATATTTTTGACTTCTTATAAATTAATAATCTTGCAATAGAAGACTTGAAAAATTATTTATTAGACCTACATGCAACAATAAAGATACAATTAAAGGAAGTTTAAGAATAAAAAAAATCAATACAAATGCATGTTTAAGTAACAATCTCAATTCCATATTAAAAACTAAATATATTTAATTTGTTATAATATCAAGAGTATTTGCTCTTGTAAGAAAATAGATTACTATAAACTTAGACCATTTTTTATTTGTAAACAAATTAACCTACTTGCTTATTCATTATACCTACTTGATCATATAAAAATCCATCTTATATTCTAAGTATATATATATATATATATATATATATTTTGAGTTATATAAGGTATTGGATATACCTAAAAGAAAACAAATACCATTTTTTTTTTGATAGAAATAGATAATAATCAAGAATTTGAGGTTATAGAAGTCTTTAAGTTAAGGTGGCATTAAAATAAGTTAGATTATATTATATATTGGCATAAATATGATATTAGTGAATGTTCATGGGAGCTAAAAAAGAATCTAATAAATGTAGCAAAGAAGATTGATGCTTTCATTAATAACATCTATCAAAATTAAGATAAAAAGGCATTCACAAGAGTGAAGAAGGTTTCATTCTTGCCTCTATATATATTATATAACTAAAAGCTATATAACGACATTCTATAGGATCTCTAACATGTGTTCAATTTGTAAAAGATATATCTTAACTTGTAAGATAAGTTTCCTATATGCATGCTACATTGTTACCTTGTATCACAAGCTATCTATATGTTCAATATATGGCAAATTTGTTGGCCAAGTTTTTAACCTATCAATGAACTATAAATATGAATAAAGTCAAATATGCATCTATAAAGCTTCTAAGAAGCTATATATAAGATGATATGAAATCTACCTATATTTATCTTCTATCTAAAACTTCTAATCTAAATAAATATATATGTTTATAAAAAAATTGCCTTAATAGTATTCTAAGTATTTTATTTGAAAGAAGTTACAAAAGCCTCAATAGTGACTAAATATCAAGGTGGTTTTCTTGTCCTAATATGAAATACTATTGATGGCTAAGAAGACTTATCAATTTTTTTGAAAGATAACATAGATCAAAATATATGGTAAATATAATTTATTGTATTTTAAACTTTATCAACCTATGATTATTGTTCCTTATAGAATTAATCTTTAAAAAGAAGAGTTATGTCATGGTATCACAAATATACATAGATATTCTAGTAAATACCTATATGAGTAGATAAAAGTAGATAAAAGTATGTTAATTTTAAAATATCTTTTAGAAAAGCTTTCTAAAAGCTTTATTGACTTTACTTTGACTTTATAT